TAGATGTCTTCTCTCAATTGCAGCTGCAAAATCCTGGAATCTCTTTCAGTTAGATGTGAACAATGCTTTTCTATATGGAGAATTACATGAAGAAGTTTATATGCAACTTCCACCGGGATTTTCTACACAGGGGGAGAATGTGGTATGAAAGTTAGAAAAATCCCTATATGGTTTAAAGCAGGCATCACGCCAATGGAACCATAAATTCTGCACAACCATTGTTCAAAATGGATATGTACAGTCTCAAAATGATCACTCCTTATTCACAAAACGAATTGGAACTACCATAACAATTCTTTTAGTGTATGTTGATGACATAATCATCACGGGAAATGATGAAATAATGATCAATGACCTCAAGGAATATCTAAAGCAGCACTTCAAGTTGAAGGATCTGGGATCATTAAGGTACTTTCTGGGAATTGAAGTTGCAAGAAATAATAAAGGAATATGAATCAATCAAAGACAATATGCACTTGATATAGTAAGTGAATGTGGATTACTTGATGCAAAACCATCACTATATCCCATTGATCAGAACAGCAACATCACCCAAAATGATGGAAAACCTTTGGAGGATCCAAGTGAATATAGAAAGATTATTGGAAAGTTGCTATACTTGACAGTTACACGTCCAGATATCTCATATGATGTTAATAACCTTAGTCAGTTTGTGGCTAAACCTACTGATGCACATCTTAGTGCAGTCATGAGAGTTGTTAGATACATGAAAGGGAATGCAGGACAATGATTGTTATATCCTAAAGAAAATGACTTGCAGATTCAAATGTACTGTGATGCTGATTGGGCAGCTTGCAAAGATACAAGAAAGTCAATCACAGGATATTGTGCATTCATTGGAAGTTCATTAATATCTTGGAGATCTAAGAAGCAGCAAATTGTTTCGAGATCTTCAGCAGAAGCTGAATACAGGGCAATGGCATCCAGTGTTTGTGAGTTAAAATGGTTAGTCAGATTATTGGAAGATATGGATGTTAAACAATCAACAAAGTGCAAATTGTTTTGTGACAATATTGCTGCCATATACATAGCTTCCAATCTAGTTTTCCACGAACGAACGAAGCATATAGAAATCGACTGTCACATAGTTAGAGAACAATATTTGAAAGGATTGTTTGAAATGTCTCATGTGAGGACAGAAGAGCAAATTGCAGACTTATTCACAAAGGGGTTATCTGCTAAGCATTTAAAATGTCTGTTAAGCAAGATGAACATAGATAACATGTATGCACATCTTGAGGGGGAGTAATGAAGATTTATATATATGTACGTGCATAAAGGATATGATCGACGTGGAGATGAGTCACATGCAATATACGCTGGCATAACTGATGTAACTAATTAGTTAGAATAGTAGTTGAATATAGTTACATATACGTATATGTTTGTACGTATCAATAGCTATAGCGTATAATTCTTCTTTGTATAAATACTCTAAGGAGAGCTGTAATTAGTTTCAAGTTGAATAAAATTCTTCTTTCCAAAATTCTGAAACTTGCCAAAGATGAAACGGGGCACAATCAATAGTGTATCACGGGAAGAACATGTCATTCCATCCTGTTTCAAAGCGACGGGAAGACCGATTCAATTTGTTAGATGTAAACTCAAATTGAATGTGGATGCTTGTTACTTATCTGATTTTGCAGCTGGAGGTGCGATTATTCGAAGCCAGAGCGGAGCGATGATATGCGCGCAGCCAGCTTCCTGATTGAGGCATCTTCGTCACTTGAGGCGGAATTGAAAGCAATTGCGTTTGCGGTTAAATGGGCTGTAGAGGAAGGGTTTGATGAGTTTCAGGTAGAGTTGGATTCAGCCATGGCAATGACCTATCTGGAGAACATTGAAGTGCGAAGATGGAATGGTCTACTTCAGGAAATTCGACTCTTCGGACACACGCTGAGACTCTGAGAGAAGGGTACTGGACGGCTGCATACGGTCCATACCAACTCATGCTCGACGGGCTTTCTACGTGGATCTGTTTGGGATCCCCTCTCACAGATATTAATCACTTATTTCTTCACCTTTTATTTCTCGTAATGTTTTTTTCTCTTAGATGTCTTGGTATATTCCCCCTCTCTTTTTCTTTTTGTGTTTCTTCTTTCATCTATATAATTTGGTAAATGTTCTCCGGCATTTACTCCACTGATTTTGTTGGTTTGCCTTCCGGGTTAAAAAAACTCATTCCAACTAATAGAATTGATTATGTTTACAAATTGAGTAAATTCCCCAAATGAGACTAAAAGAATAGAAAAAAGCAAAATTAGGACTATCATGTTTTTTGGACTATTTTAGAACTAAATTGTAGTAGCTTGACAAAATTACCCTTAATATTAAAACTCCAGTCCACAGTCCACATCGCAAAAAACCATTCTCCTATGAACTGCAGATCCGCCACCGACTATGGCCTCGCAACGCACCTCCTCCGTCGACCGCAGGTAATCTCCTCCTCATCCTCCTCCTTCTCCTCCTCCTCCTCCTCCTCCTCCTCTTTCTTCTTTTTTCTTTCTTCTTTCTTCTTTCTTCTTCTTCTTCTTCTTCCCCTGGTGCACTTCTCCCTCCTCCTGCACTCTGTTTTCTGTTTTTTTTCTATTCATCTACTACCTTTTAAAGTTCTATTTATTGATTGGGATTTTTTTGGATTTGAATTTTATTTATTCTGAAAAATGTCACTTTTATATCTGAGAATGTCAAAATTATTGGTTATTTGAAACAACTGCCACATTTGTGGCAGTATATATATCAAAATGACAATATGAAAATGTCATGTGTCCATAAGAAAATGTCATTGTTATGACATTTTATGGCATTTTTATGGCTTATCTGAGAATGACATAACTGAGAATGTCCGTTTTTATACGAAACTTCCATCATCATGTTATTATTCTTGACATTCTCATATGAGGTCTGCAAGTATGAAACTTTGGATTTTGATATTTTTAAGATTTCAAATTAATAAATACAATTCAAATCCAAGAAGAAGAAAGAAGAAGAAGAAGAAGAAGAAGAAGAAGAAGAAGAAGAAGAAGAAGAAGAAGAAGAAGAAGAAGAAGAAGAAGAAGAAGAAGAAGAAGAAAAAGGAGATGAAGAAGAAGAAAAGGAAGAAGGGAAGAAGAAGATTACGTACCTGACTTGGCTGAAGAAGAAGGGAAGAAGAGGGTTGGGTTTCATAGAGGGCGGTGTGGTTGCGTTCAATCGCAGACGAAAGGCTGCAATTCCATGGCCAGGTGAGAAATTGCAGATTAACGGGAGAAGAGTCAGTCGATTGGGTTTAATACATCAAGGGTAAAATTGTAATCTGTAGTCCTATTTAGGGAATAATAAACTTAATGTTCTATTTAGAAATTTTGACAATGTTTTGATCCTATTTAGGGCAATTCTTTCTTACAACTTTGATGCATATTAGATCTTTTGAAAAACTCAATCAATCTTAACACAATGCATGTAAAATGAGAAAACGTTGATCACAAATTTAATGACAGAAAACATGATATTAATAGCTAAACATGTCATATCATATAAGTCTAGTGATATTAACCCGATGAATGCAAATTATTAGTAACTTTTGTTTTTATGTTATTGTACCATGGATCACAGGCATGACCCAAGAACGAATTAGAATGAAGTCCATCAACGAGATAGCCCATTAATCGGGATTAATAATTAATGAAAGCCGATGGGCCTAATTAGGAATCTGACCTGCAAAAGGAACCCACGACCAGACCAGTCTGGACAACATACCTCGAGCCTAAGCGGGATTCTAGCGAGGTCAGACTCATCCAAGGGCTTACGTGGCAGGCTATCATTTGAGCATAGCTATCTGGCAGCGACAGGAAATAACGGAACAAACGTGGACCTAGAGGAACAATGATTGCACAACGTTCGAGACGTTACATGACTCTTATTATGATTAAATGCATTAAATGTATCAGTTTCCTCTTAGAATACTAGAACCTAATGTCTATAAATACTTCATGTACATGCCCTAAAATTTCATCTGCTCTCATAGATTAAGCTCTCGTAGTTGGAATTAAACTTCATCATTATCTAAAAATGTATATTAAAAAAAACAAACAAATATTCATCTCAACTGTATCTCATAGAATGTATATATTCATCATGAACTTTTTCCGAACCAATCACAAAAAATGTAAATAAAAAATATATATACTTTGTGTAGGAACTTTAAATACCACCCTGAAAATAATTGATTAAAAAAGTATTATTAGCTAAATATATTATCAACTATCATCAAATTTACAAATTTATCTCATGCGTTTACTTTTATTAAAAAAGACTCAAACTTCATTTTTTTCTCACAATTACACTTTCAATGGATGAAATAGTCAAACTTAAGAACAAAATCATATTTATATTTCAGATTTTTTCACTTATTTTCTAGTAAAACTTGTAATGCTTATATCTTATTGGTATTGATAAAAATATGTAATTTTGAAAAAACACAAAAGAAAAACATAATTGTTGAAAAAGATAAAGTCTGAATCTTGTTTGGGTAAAAGTCAAAGATTAGGATAGGTTTGTTGATTTGATGATAGTTTGGGATAAAATAAGCTAATAAATCATTCCAATAAATCACATGTAATAAACTCATTCCAACTAATAGAATTGGCTATGTTTACTAATTTGATCGTTGATGCGTATTAAATCCGTTGAAAATAATACCTTGGCCATTTTTGAATTGGAATAAAAATCTTTGTGAACTACAAAAACACAATCAATCTTAACACATGCAATTGTAAAATTAGTAAATGTTCATCACAAATTCAATGATAGAAAATATAATATTAATAGCTAAATATATCATATAAAGTCTAGTGATATTGAGTCCGATGAATGAAAAATACAAACCTAAATGATGACCAAAAACATATCTAATAGCTATTTTTTAAACATAAAGCTTAAACACAACAAAAAGAATCAAGAATTTATTACAAATGCAGAAGTAGAAAAAACTATTTTTTTTTAATCCGGAAAGCAAACCACCAAAAACAGTGGGGTAGATGTCGGGGAACATCTACCAAGTTTTATTAAAAATAGAAAATAGGTACAATGGAAAGGGGGACTAGACCAAAACCTTTCAAGGAGGCATTCCTCCCGTAAAACATATCACAGAAGAAAATAAAAACGCAATTGGGGAGACTAGACCTGACCCAATTGGAAATACAATCAAATATAGAAAAATCAAAATCTAAGTGAAGGAATGCCAAATTTATCCATGTAATAGGCTCACCTTGCTCGGACCGGAAATAATAATGGGCTTGAGAATTTTGTTTTTGAGCAAAGCTATTTTAATCTACTCAAAACAAAGAACTACTATTCAAAATAAATTGTCCATAATCAATGGAACATGGAAATTACCATCTATTCAATAGTGATGAAACACTATTGAATAGATGAAGAATGGATTCAATATGCTTGGCTAGTAAGAATGGATCGCTATTTCAGACTCAACAATGTAGATGAAGAAGAAAAAATGGAAGTAGTTGTGGTAGCTATGGAAGATAGATCGCTGAGTTGGTTCCAATGGTGGGAAAATCAAGCACGTGAGAGGAATTAGGAAGCACTAAAAGAAGCGTTGACTCGTCGCTTCCAACCTGAACTGGTACAAAACCCCTTGGGTCCTTTATTGAGTCTGAAACAGAAAGGTACTGTGAAGGAATTTAGAGAACAGTTTGAGATGGCTACTGCTCCAGAAGGGAACCTGAACGGGGAGGTACTTAAGGGCATCTTCCTCAATTGCCTGAAGAGAGATATAAGGCCTGAGTTGAAACTCTATAATGCAAGAAACTCGGTTGAGATTATGGACAATGCACTGCTAATTGAAGATAAAAACAATGAAGTCTTGTCCACAAGAAATAAAGAAGAAAGGAAAAGAATCTGGAAAAATAAAAGGCGGGAGGAAATAGTTATCAAAAATGGGGAGAAGCAAGTAGAGGAAAAAGTAACCAGATCACTACTAACTATTCTGAAAGGAGCTCAGTTGAAAACAAAAGTGTAGAGGGTATGGCAGCCTCTAACTAAAAGAATATGGGCCCCCAGATTAAACCAAGGTGAATTACAGGAGAGAAGTAGGAAGAGGCTGTGTTTCAAATATGGAGAGAATTGGAATAGAGGGCAAGTTTGCAAGATGAAGAACTTCAAAATGGTTCTTATAGAGCAATCCGAAGGAGAGGAAGAATCTTAGCCAGCTTCTAGTGATTCTAATGAGGGGGAAGGGATTCATCTGGAATCTAAAGCTATGCATCTATTTGTGCTGAGTAATGAAGGCATACCCACTATGAGAACATTCAAAGTGCTGGCAATTTTGAAATGGGCAATAGGAGAACAACATGTGAATGTACTCATTGATAGCACAACTACTCACAATTTCATAGCCAAAATTTGGTGAACAAATGGGAAATTCCTTTCACAACTATTAAGGGATATAAGGTACAAATTGGGAATGGAGAATATATTCCTAACAGTGGAAGATGTGAGGGAATGAAGTTAAGGATGCAAGGGACAATGATTCAGCACACTTTCTATATTCTGGAGCTAGGAATGGACTGGCTAACTACTTTAGAAGATATGGAGGTTAATTTCCAAAACCAAACTATTAAATGGAGAATGCAAGGGCAGGAATGCTCTATAAAAGAAGATGCTTCGTTGAATAATATGGAAGTTTCTCTGAAAACCATGGCACACATTTTACAACAAACTGGACATGGATACAAATTGTATTGTGAGGGACAAGGTACTGAGCAAGATAAGAACAAAGTGCAGGATGAGGTTTGGAAAGAAATTGTGAAACAATTTCCATAGGTCTTCAAATCTCAAGATTCTCAACTGGATCCACCACCTGTAAGATCATGTGATCATGCCATTAACATCATCGAAGGAGCCATCATCCATAATATCAGGCCTTACAGGTACTCTTATTCTGTAAAAAAATGAGATTTAGAAAATCATCAAAGAAATGCTATGTTAAGGAATAATCAAACCCAGTAATAGTCCCTATAGCAGTCCAGGGTTATTGGCTAAGAAAAAAGGTGGCCGGAGATTTTATGAAGATTATAGAGCGTTGAATAAAATAACAGATGATGACAAGTTTCCTATCTCATTTGTTATTGAAGAAGTATTGGATGAACTGTTTTCAATGCTGGATTTAAAATCAGGTTACCACCAGACTACCTTTAGGACTCATGAAGGGGACTATGAGTACTTAGTCATTATGCCTTTTGGATTGACAAATGCTCCCTCAACTTTCCGGGCCTTAATGAATGAAGTTCTGAAATCTTTTTTAAGAAAATTTGCTTTAGTGTTCTTTCATGGCATATTGGTTTATTGCAAATCTAAAGAACATATGGAGCATTCGAGAAAGGTACTACAAGCCCTAAAGGAAAATCAGTTGGTAGCTAACTTGAAGAAGTGTTCTTTTGGCCAGAACCAACTAGGCATGGACCCAGGCCGAGCCGGGCCTCTGGCCGGGCCTGACCGAGCTTTTTTTGGGATTCTTGAGGCCCAGAACCAGCCCGGGTAGCTACCGGGTCAGGCCCTGGCCGGTTCGGCCCGGGTCAGCCCGGTTTTCCTATCTTTTTTTTCGAATTACTTCCTACCCACCCACCGCCCCACACCCCAAACCCGTCCAAAACACCCAGCCCAATCCATTTAACTTTTTCAAATTTTGGGGAAAAAAATTGGCCCGAATCGGGCCGGCCCAGCTGCCCGACTGGACCAGTTCATTTTTTTGAGACCCGAAGCCTGCAATGAAACAGTACCGGGTTGGGTGGCCCGAACCGGGCAGAGACCCGGGTACCGGGCCGGGCCGAGCCAAAACAGTACCGGACCAGGCCGGTTCAGGCCGGTTGACCCGGCCCGAGTCCATCCCTAGAACCAACTAACATACTTGGGCCACATTATTTCTGAACATAGAGTGTTTGCAGATCATGGCAAGATAGAGGCCATGGTGGATTGGTGGATTCCACTGAACCTAAGGATCTTAAGGGACTAAGAGGTAAAGAGGGTAAGATATGTGAGGGGTTACAGAAGATGTGTTGTACCACTACAAGCCCATCTGATTTTTAGTTGCCTTAGTGCTCCCTTATCTCCATCTCGATTGCCTTGTTGACCCATGTGAAGAAATCCTCACAGTCCTTTGCCCTAAGATATCTTGCTACACATTGCACAAACCTCACCAACCAGAATACCAGATGCTCCGCCGCCCTTCCTCTATCTGTAAACTCCCATCGCCGCACAACACCACCACACTACAACTACTTTGGCCACCCATCCACCCCAAGCCGCTCTGGAGCTGGACAAATACGGCAATACGCCATAGTAGTAGGGGTGGACTCGGGCCGGGCCAACCGGCCCAGAACCAGACCGGCCCGCTACAGTGCGGGCCCAGATCGACCCTGTGAACCGGTTGGTTGGCCGGTTCGGGCCACCCGGCCCGGTGGGATGTCAGTTCGGGCTCGGGCCCTTGAAAAGGTGAATCGGCCCGACCGGTTCGGGCCCGGGCCAATTTTTTTTTTTATGAATTTTTTTAAGTTTTTGGGTTGGGCTGGGTATTTTGGGCCATTTGAGGTGATTAGGGTTGGTTTGGGGGAGGGTAGGGGGTTAACTAGGAAAAGCCAAAAAAAAAAAATAGAACCGAGGCCCGGGCCGGTTCCGGGCCTCCCCTTCATGAACCGAGGCCCAGCCAGGCCCAAGCCCGAACCGGTCCATCCCTACATAGTGGTAGCCCCCCATCATCAAAGCATACATGCAATAGAAGAACCCCAAAGACAAATTCCAATCCCCCATAAACGAATACATGCAATAGAAGAACCCCAAAATCCAAAGCAAAGGATTCGGTTCGGGCCACCCGGCCCGTGACCCGGCCCGGCCCGGTACTGTGCGGGCCCGGGACCGGCCCGGTCGGGCGGTCCGGGACCGGGTATGGACCCGAACCGGTGGGAAGGGGCGGGGCGGGCTCGATGCTGGATTATTGTGACCCGGCCCGGCCGGGTCGGGCCCGGGTCCGGGTCTAATTTAAAAAAAAAAATTGGTTTGGGCTACTAGCCGTTGGGGGTGGGGCTGGGGACAACCCAAACGGCTATATAGCCGTTGGGTGGGGTAAAGGGGGGGTCCGGGGGGGTTGGCTGGTGGGGGTGGGGGTGGTGGGGGGGTGGGGGGTAAAAAAACCTTTAAATACTCCTAATCTTAAACATTTTTTCATATCTCTTCTCCAATTCTTCCTAAATCCTATTCTTAACTCTCTACTCTCTAATTCTCTTATTCTCCAATATATTATATTTATTATTTATATATCTACTTTATAGTTTATACTTAAGAAGTTAAGATGGAAAATCAAGATGCCATTATACGGTATAATTTTGATAAGCAGAACTGCAGAAGGACCCGAAGACCGGTATGTGGTACGCAATTTGCAAATGGTGCGAGAAAAAATGTAGCAAGGGGGTTTCTGGCGGATTCAGAATGGCAATCAAGCATATGAAGTCATGTGACAAAGCCAAAGGATCGGGAGGTGCGGAAAGTTCCGATTGATTACAATTTTCAAAATGTTTATCTGTTAAAGTTTGTTTTAATTTTCAAATGTAGTTCCTATTTCATTTCAAATAAATGCAATTGAAGTTTGTTTATAATACTCGTATAAAACTATAAACTATAAAATATAAATTATAAAAAAAAAATTAACCGGCCCAGCCCGAACCGGACCCGACCCGTGACCCGGACAGGTGGACCAGCCCGGACCGGACCCGTCCAACCCTCGGGCCGATCCCAGGCCCATGTCATACTACCCGGCGGCCCGGCCCGAGTCCATCAATATTTGAAACACATCATCGCTAAGGACACCCAACGGCCAACAATCAAGAAGATCGAGCAGCACTGAAACATTCATCCGAACTCTAAGGGCAGCACTAACTTCAAACCCTACGAGAGCCGAGAGGCCGAGAGGGTTTGCAGATCACTCTTTTTCATCCGATTCATGTTAAAAATCAGATTATATATTATATATTTAATTATCTATTAGTACAAACATAAAAAATTAGATTTTCATGAGATCAAATTCAACAAAATCCCATTCATCAATAATAAAGTGTAGTCAAAATAGAGCGTGTAAAATTCAATACTACAACTGAAAACCGTAAAAAGAAACAAAGGATAGTGCAGTGCATAGTTACCAGGTGCATCATGTTACCCGAAAAGACAACAGGCAAAACTTGAGCAAATTACAAACAAAACAAAAAGAAAAACAAAAATAACTGGTACAGTTGCGGATAAGTCCCACACATATAGGAGTGGTGGGGAGAGAGGGGGGCGTTGATGGGCTCTCATCACAGCCATCAAAGGTTCTGTTGGACAGTAATTCCAGTGATCTCTACAACAGTTTTGGGGCGATAATGATTATCTGTATCCACTTCCTCAATCTCCTGAACATAAAAATGCACAAAATACTCTCAAAAAGATGCACAACATGAAATCTAAGTATATATGTACTTCTAGCAAATCATCATCTTTCATTTTCCTTTCCATTTTCACACGTAAAACCAAAGTCAAGAAAAAGCATTTTGCCCCTAATAACATTTTCTGGGATCCAAACACGCCTTGAGAGGCTGACAATCTGTTTGCAACGTGAAAACACTAGGGAAAGAGAATCGGGAGGACAATCTGAGTCTGCGAGAATTTTAGATGGAAAAAATCGTAAGAAAAGTAAAATATTGGTTAAATTTATTAAATCTATTTTCACTATTTGTCGCAATCGGGTGTTAAAGCAAAGTTGGAAGTATGACGACAAACATTGGAGACCAAAGGTTTCAAACTGAGCCAAAGCAAGATCGTGTATATAGAGTGCAAGTTTGGGGAAGGTAGAAGTAGTAGCAACAGTGGGATTACTCTTGATGGTAAGGAGATACCGGTGTGTGATATGTTTCGTTACTTGGATTCCATAATTCAGAAGGATGGCGAATTAGATGGAGATGTATCCCATAGAATCAGAACTGAGTGGATGAAATAGAAGAGTGAATCAGAATTTCTATGCAATCGAGATATGCCGACTAGGCGGAAAGGTAATTTTATCAAACAACATTTAGGTTTGCATTAATGTATCGCGTAGAGTGTTGGGCGGTGAAACAATGTCACATTCAAAAGATGAGTGTGGCACAGATGCGTATGTTGTGTTGGATGTGTGGACATAACAGAAAAGACCGCATGAGGAATGAGATAATCAGACAAAAGGTGAGAGTAACACCTATAGAAGATAAGATGCAGGAGTCTCGCTTGCGATGGTTTGGGCATGTGCGTAGAAGACCGAGTGATGCACTTGTTAGGCGACTTGAGGGATGGGGAGAAGAGACCGAGAGGAAAGGGAGAGGAAGACCCAAACAGACTTGGATTAGAGGAATCAGAACACGTCTTCTTAAGTTGGATGAGAGTATGGCTTTGGAGAGGGCAAAGTGGAGGGCGCACATTCGTGTGGACGATTGATCACTTTTCTTTTCTTTTCCTTTCATTTTCTTTTATCGTTGATTTTCTTTGTTTTTTATGTTCTTACGTTATTTTTATCTTCTAGCTTTTTTATGCTCTTTTATCTTTTAATCTTTTATCTTTCTTATATTCTTATGTTATTTTTATCTTATATTTATTTATCTTTATCTTATTCGTTTTATTCTTTTTTCTTCTTGTGTCTTCTCTTTTTGACATCGATATCATGGATCGTTTCATGTTAACCGACCACAAAAATCTTTTGGGATTAAGACTTGAATTTGGATGTTGTTAGAATCCATTCTTATTTCTATGATATATATATATATATAAACAACAACTTCCAAGCCTTGTTCCCAAAAGGTTCTGGGATCGGCTAACATGAATCAATACATGTAGGGTTGGACTCGGGCCGGGCCTAGGCCCGGTCGGGCCAGCGGTTCTATATAGCTGGACCCGGGACCGGTCCGGGTAGCCACCGGGTCCGGTCCTGGTCCGGTCCGGGTCCGGGCCGAGCCTCGGGTTTGGTTTTTTTTTTTTTTGCTTAGCTACCCATCCCTGACCCCCCCCCCTCACCCCCCCCACCCCCAAACCCCTCCTAAACATCAAGCCCAACCAGGTGGAGCACAAACAAATGAAAAAAACCAAAAAAAAAAATAAATTTGGCCCGAACCGGGCCCGGGCCTGGCCGGGCCTTGTTATGGGTGACCCGAGCCCGGACCGGAAACCCACCGGGTCGGGCCTACCCGGACCGGTCACTGACCGGGCCACCGGTTCGGGCCGGGCCGGAACAGTACCGGTCTCGGGCCGGTTCCGGGTCGGGCCACCCGGCCCGAGTCCAACCCTAAATACATGCTACCGGAACCAAAAGGAAAAGAAAGAAAAAAATATAAACTATGATAAAAAGATAAAGAAATTGCCCTACATAAGAGTAAAAACGTTTCTGTATTCCAAAATAAGATCATGTTTTTATTCCCTAAATGGGAGTAATCACTGTTACGTTTGAAAAATATTGTCATGTTTGATGTCCGGTACTGCCAAAACATGGCAATAATTACCCCTATTTAGGGAACAAAAATATGAATGTCCTAATTTGAAATTCTTAAACGTTTTTAAACCTATTTCGGAAATTTTCCCAAAGAGTGTAAAAATAGATAAGATATAACAGGATAAAAATGATAGATTAAACAGGATAAAAATAATATATATATATATATATATATATATAGATTTTGGTTCAAATAAAAACATGATCTTAGGAGAGAAATGAGAATGAATCTAGACCGTTGGATTTGCTTTAAGTGAAATTCAATGTGCATTAGATGAAACTATAATGTGCATTAGGTGAATATCATCTAATGCACATTTCAGTTTCACCAAATGCACAATTCAGTTCCACATAATACAATCCAACGATCCAAATTCATTCTTATTTCTCTTGGGAATCCGTTCTTGTCGGAACTGCTCCCTATATATTATATATATATATACATATACATATATATGTGTATAAAGATAAAAGAATAAAAAACACAAAAACAAGAAAGAGATGAGGGGAAAATATGACGAGAATAAGAGATCACCCCGCCACACAAGTATACGTCCTCCTCTTTGCTCTCTCCAAAATCATACCCACATCCAACCCAAGAAAAAGCATATCACTCCTGACTCCTCTAATCCACGTATGGTTGGGTCTTCCTCTCCGTCTCTTCTTCACACCACTCAACTTGTCTCAGAGGTGGACCACGTGATCTTCTACGCACATGATCCAAATAGGTGTTACTCCCACCTTTTGTCTGATTGTCTCATTCCTCAATTTCTAGCATTTCCACACATCCAACACAACATGTGCGTCTCTACCCATCTCTGCCACTCATCTTCTCATCTTCTGAATGTACATTGTTTCACCACCCAATTATATATAATCGACATTATAGATATAAACAATCTAAACAATTAAAAGTTTTAAAAACGTCAATATGTATTATTATTATCCTTTGCATTAACGTTAACATGTATTATTATTATACTTTGCATTTTTTCAAAACAATAAATAATAACTTTACATTTTCTTTTCTTTCGTTGGCATTTTTCAAGATCCAAACATTAGGGAAAACTCAATCTCTCCAACGTTTTTTTGTAAGAGCCATGCTTAGTGTCCACACTGAACGTATACACACCATTTTTACACACCATACAGACAATATTTCTAAAAAATTGCGATGTTTTATGAATTGTCTGTACACAATCAACGTGCAATCGGGCAATCAACGTGTACCAACAAAGTTTTCCTTTTTGTCATACTCAATTATTATTCACCCAAAAAACTACAAATTACAAATACCCAACTTTTCAAAAAATTATAAATAGTACTGTATCCACAACATCTGAATGAAAAACATTTAAAATTACAGTGGACTTTTGAAACCGTAAAGCACATTTCAAATTGCTTATCTAAACACCAAGTAGATATACTAAAAATGGACCTTTATATTGATTCAAATTCGGATTATTCAAAACTGCTGCAACAAAAAAATGTTAGGAAAGGATTGGGGATTACTACCTAATTTGTTTTATTTTTTAAATTCCATGTGGTTAGAGAACAGGTGTATGTGTCTATGTGACAGGCTGACAGGAAACATTTGGGACTCATTAATACCTGAACAACATCTTCACCCCTGATGACACGCCCAAATACTAAAACCTTTTCACTCAGATCAGGAATTGGAGCAGTTGTTATAAATATATCAAATCCTCCAACCTCATGTTTTGCCTTGGATGTACCAATCATAAATGCTTCATGCTTCAGGCTGGGAAGTTTTAATGAAAGAAAAAACAAATAACCACAAATAGTAACAAGACTAAAAACCATAGTGTAAATTAATTAAATAAAAATCAAAGAAGATGCAAAAAACCTTGTGTCAAGGTGAGCATAACTTTTTACCCTTGACGTCCATTCTATTGTAGTTTCCTGTCTTTCCACCTTACTTCCGTGAATAACAAAGTTTTTAACAACTTGGATAAATTGCATCCCATTAAAGTGTCCCTTTCCGCTGCAAATATATTGTGACTCGTATCTTCAAGTTCAAAGAATAACAGGTAAGACAAACAGAGACCTGAGCCAACTCAGAGAAATGGCTCTTTAATTAGAAACTTAATTAAAATGTAGTTTCTTGTTTTCTCCCTAATATCAGGTCAGAAAATCAAGTTTCAGCTGTTGAAATATTACGAAAATATAAAAGCATATGGTGCAAGCTTGTATGAGTGTGATTATGAAATATATACAATTCATTATCCTTTAATATAGAAAGGGAGAAGAAACACATATGCCCCAGAGCTATATGTCAGCGAATAAATACACCCCTTTTGGAACATTAAATAGAAAAATTGTAAAGTTGAAATGAATATACCCCAATGCCGAATAGTTGAAGGGTACACATGTTCTCTAGTATAAGGGATCAAGTATGTGATTGTGTCATAATTACAATTTTTTTTGTTCAATTGTTCCAAAAAAAATAGAAGGATACATATTTTCTCTCACATATAGTTCAAGGGTATATTGTTATATCTTTTATAATTATGAAGACTCTTGGTGATGACTAGTTAATTACCCCATTAATGTTCATTTGGCTGTAACAGAACTGAATATTAGGCAGTAAGAAAAATGCGTACCACAAATCAATAAATTCGTCAACAACAACATCGGAAGAACTGTCCTTATGAAGCTCAGCAGTTATCATGCCTTTTGTGGTATGTATGAGCTGTCAGACACAACTTTATGAATACAATCTAGACAAGAACACATTGAAGGACAATTGGACTAAGGAGACCAAATAAATGAGAAGTAAATATGGCCCGATTCCACAAGGAACGACTGAACAATACGTAGTATAATTTATCAGTTTTTCAAGATACCCTTTAGTGTTTGTGCGTCATTAGTATTTTAGAACTTACAGCATATTTGGCAAAATCAGATTTCTTCTGCCCTGCAAAAAGACTTTCACCCTGCAGATCATAAAAGAAACACTTTGACAAGGGGAATGGGCATGACATAAAATTTAAAGTTACTCCCTGATAGGATTCTAGGCTGAAGAAAATAATAATAAGAATATTATAATAATATTAAATAATTGTGATAGTATATTAGTATATTACAGGTCCTGGGTCAGGTACTAGTTAACTTTGGGCTGGCCCATAAGCAAGGGTATAAATAGAAGGGAGGGAGTAAGAAGAAGGTAGGCAGAAATTGGGATAGGCTTTGGCTTGGGAGAGGGGACTGCTCGAAGTGTCTCACTGTATCTTTCTTTTTCAGTCTATGAATTTCATCTAATATTCTTCCGTTTACGGTCAAATTTCTGCGTATCTATCATTGGTATCAGAGCACTCGCTCCTGGAGTCTTAATCGACCGTCACAGTCTTGATAGCTGAAGAGGAGAGTTAGTTCTAGGCGTACGATGCTGAGAAACGAACAAACAAAGAGGGTCAACCTTCAAATGGAAAAACCCAGGGAACATCGACGGTCGAAGGTGGTAGCCTCTGGTTTGTACGTGAAAATTGAGAAGCGCGTGGCTACGCAAAAGGGGAAGGAACCGCATAGAAGATCCGATCATGAGGCCTTGCGCGGAAAAGTGGGGAAGTGCGCAAACCTGGTGATTGGCTTGAACAGCGAGAAGCGCGCGAAGAGCAATGAAGAGGTAGAAAGCGACTGGACGAAGGAGATGAGGATCTGGTTAGATGAGATGCGCACCAAGCTGCGTAAACGTTGCCGGCGAGGACGATCGAGAACCGTGCGACGCTGCAGGAATTCATGGCCATCTCAGACGGTGTCGCAAACAGCTACTCACAGTTCGCACAGTTCATCCAGTTCACAGGCTTCGACGCTATCAGATTCGCTGAGTTTGCAGGTTTCAGCGGCCATCTCCACCGGTCCACAGGTTCTGACGCCAATTACTTCTCACTATGCGGAACCTCAATCATTCCATCTGGAGTCTTTTATTCAGACGCAACCTCCCTCAGAAGGTAATAATTCTTCACGCCCCATGGAAAATGTAGAAGAGAGAGTTCAGTTGGTTCCTTACAGTGCTAAGGATGTTCCGAGAGTCGCCAATCTAGGGCAAAATTCTGCTAGAGAAGCTGGTAATTCTTCTCGGGAGACCAAGCTGCTGTCCGTGGGTGTTATGGGTGACCCTGGCAAAAATGAAGTTACTGTCAATCATAGGCAACTGATAGATCAGGTAAAAGTCACAGATACAACAGAGAGGAGGATTCAAGCACCGGAGTGGAATTCAGATCTTGGTGTGATGACTGCTGGGCCTGATGTTTTTGTCTCTCCAACTGGGCTCAATCCTTTAATGTATCAACACTTGTCTTCCATATTAAAAGGGGAGTCATACATACCCACGTTTAGGGAGATGAACGGCGATGATATTCAACCCACAGGACGTCCACCAGATAAATCGGAAAGGGCAGAAAATGTTGAGGCTGATGCCAGCTCACTTTCAAAGCCTGCTTTGCTTGAAGAGATAGTTGCTGAAGCTGCAGAGGAAACTGAGAAAGCACCAGAGAGGAACGCTATGAATAAGTATCCATTTTTTGTTTACTGGAAGAAATATGTAGATCACGAGGCATGGATGGGTTTGATGGATAATGCTGTTGAGGTACACGAGCGAGCAAATCAAGGATGTATATATTCTGTAGGCGGGTGGTTGCACTACTGTGTATTTGCGGTAAATACATATGGAGATCCTGACACAAGTAGAGGGCTGTTTAAAGGTAGATTTGCACCTGAAGTTCCTCAATATCCTACTTTGGAGGTTTCTTCTGTTGCTGCAAGAGCTATTGGCTCTATTATAAAGGAAATAGGAGAAGGAAACTTCCTAAACTTGGTGCCTTGGCTATTAAAGAATCTGACATCGGATGGCTGCACTGTTGTGCAAAATTTCTGTTGGCTGTTGAAATCTTATAAGACAAACCCTGCTGTTACCAATAATCCCATCATTCACATGCTGCCGAGAATCTGTAATGAGTTGGGACTCAAATGGAAAACTGGAGAGGATAAGAACTTCAATCTTCCAGCAAAGAAGAAAATAGACAGTTGGACAAGAATGCATACCAGTGGGACTACTAATTCAGATGGTGAAGAAGATGTGAACAGCTCTAAATTGGACACTGCACTTTATTCTAAATCCCAACAATATGATTATCAAGCAACGACACCATTAAGAAAGCTGTTGACGATTGAACGCAGCCCTCCAATTGATGAGGTTCATGAGCAGGCTGTCTGGACTTCAGGAAAGGTTTCTTGTGATGCCCCAAGCTTTAGCGATCGGGGTCCTGTTCATGGTGCAATCTTACAATTGCTAGGTCAGTTAAATGAGCAAGTGATAGGCAAAAAAAGAAAATGCTGGGATTTTATACTTCACTGGCACTTTTGATAGCTCCTGGGAGTCTCACCTTTATGACTCCAAACTGTTCCATGAGTTAAACTGTACTCCAGAAATACTATTAAGGTTGACACAGGGGAGAGGAAAACATGTGGTTGTGCTTGATCAGCAAATGCATAAACTTGTTGACATTTTTAAATTGTTGGTTTCACCTCCCAAAATCTCAGTTTTCACCTTGCCTGATGAAAGATTCAGCATACATTGGCATGAGCAACCAATCTCAATGAGTATTCCGATACTCAAAGGGTTCCAACGGGACAAGCCAGAGACAACTCCAGTCAAAGCACAACAGGGGAATACAACCTTATATGGGACTCTATATAAACCATATGAAGAAAGGTCCAGACCTCTTCCATATAAAACTATGATTCATGTGTATGGAGGTCCTGGTGTCCCATGTATCAGTGACTCATGGGGAACCACAGTGGAAGGGAGAGCTCGGTGTCTAAGAAGTAAAGGCATCTTGGTTTGGAGGCTCAAGGGTATAAGGGGACCTATGCCAATGAATTGTGGGAAAGGGGTCCGTTGTGGGGTTTATGTGTTGGAAACACACTTGGACAGTGACCAAAACTGCCATACAGAAAAGTGGATGGTAATTGGAGAAGTTTGCATGGGGTTGTTTGCAGACCTTGAGTTGAGCTACATCAAACTTGCACTCAGCACACTGATAGTTTCACAAGAGAGAACCTCGGAGGAGCCTCAAGAAAGCAAGGAAAATTTTGTGGCTATTGAAGGCTTGAAGGTTAATGAAGAAAATGAAACTTCACCAGATAGATCTTATGCTGCAGAAACATATGTCAATTGGAAAGATCAAGTGCTGAAGCTCCCCGCTCATAAATCAGTGAGATACTGGGAAGGTAGAGGCGCAAGGATGAAGATGAAGCGGAGGGTCAACGTTGTTTCCTATCACCCACCTTGAGGACAAGGTGGTTGTTCAAGGGGGGAGATATGATAGGATTCTAGGCTGAAGAAAATAATAATAAGAAGAATATTATAATAATATTAAATAATCGTGATAGTATATTACAGGTCCTGGGCCAGGTACTAGTTAACTTTGGGCTGGCCCATAAGTAAGGGTATAAATAGAAGGGAGGGAGTAAGAAGAAGGTAGTCAGAAATTGGGATAGGCTTTGGCTTGGGAGAGGGGACTGCTCGAAGTGTCTCGCTGTATCTTTCTTTTTCAATGTATGAATTTCATCTAATATTCTTCCGTTTACAGTCAAATTTCTGCGTATCTATCACTCCCCTACATAAAATAACTAAAAATAATGCTTCAAATTACTCTGCACAAGAATATGTCATGTTTCAAAAAAGAGGATAAACTATAATTGAAGTTATTGGATATTTTCAATTGAATGCCTTAAATATGATAAAGCCCTGTTTATTTTGAACTTAATGGACTGAATTGAACGGGTGACTTATTCGGCCAGTTATACACTTTTGTTTACTTGGGACTTGATACAAATTCTGACTTATTCGGTCAGACATTTTCTAACTTATTCATTCAGCTCCGTTTTCATTGTCCTTCGGATTCAGACATCCCATTTTATTAGAGTGTGCTGTTTAACCCTGAATTATCCGCTTCTACGTTCTTTGTTGATACATGCCTTCATCGTAGACATTTACCTTCGTCTTCACCTATCTTCAGTGTGCTTACCTTCTTCTTCACCTCTCATCACCGACACCTGCGCTCTGAATCCAGTCCATCGCCAGCAACATATCATGAAAGCAGTGACCTAAACCTATACCCCTACCTTCATCCTCTAGGTATTCTCTTTAAATTTATATATTTCTTATAATTTTATAGGTTGAAGAGTTTGTTTATATACTTGATCTGAATTTTGACATTCAGTAGAATACGATTAGTTTCCAATTTTCTGGAAAGTATACTTGATATACAAATTAAGGTAAAAATAAAACGATTTTTAAATAATTGTATGAGGGGTTTGTCCCAATGCCCCAACAAGAATCCCACCTAGGCCACCAAGCACAAAACCACCTACATAACTAGCCGCTGCATTAGTTCTTCCTCTGTTTGATAGAGCATGAACTTCTATGACCTTAAAGTTTGACAGTAGAATTTAGGTTTGGACAAAGTGGGCTAACCTTTTCTATTGTTATATTTAACATGTTGTATAGCATTTGTACAATTCTGATCAAATAATAATTTCATAAATAATGAATACTTTCTTTGAAGTTCTAGAAACAGAGCAACCAAAATAACATTAATACTTGAACTAAATACCTGTTGATAGCTGTTGTGTGGTTCTGATTAAATTGCAGTCATAAAGTAGTTTTTTTTGGCATTTTAGTGCATTAATTCAGCTTGTTGTTATATACGTAGTATCAAATTATAGTCATGAAGTTTGAATTTTTTAGTAGTAGCTAATGTTCTGCCTTTTCCTAGGAGCTAATCTGGGAAGTTCTTGATTATCTAATAATGTTTTGCCTGTTGTTCCTTTTCTTTATTAGAAAGTGTAACATTCAACCTGACTTATTCAATGAATGGGCAATGATACCATATTCAACAATGAAGCACAAGACTACAAGAGGGAGGTGAAGATATTGGACAAGTTGATAGTGTGCAATGGTGTACCCAAAATCTACAATATATGATAAATCTGTCAAATGAAATTGCTAATAGACTAGTAGGAAAATATTTAAATTTAAAATGTTGTTGTCGTAGTACTCTTAATTTTTTCTTATCATATGAAATTATCTTTCAGAACAAGGAAAATAAACAGAAAATATATATTCATCACTTGTTCTAGACAGAAGGGTTATTTAGTCATTTAACATAATTCAGACTTCTCATTCAGCACACATAGTAAACAGTTTATTATCTAAGTGTCACTAAATCCAGACAGACGTCTTAATCCATTCAGGACTTAATGGAGAAAAAGTAAACAGCCCCTAAATCTAGTTAAACAAACAAGTGAAGAAACAAAAATTATGTATGATCAATGGCTTATAAGATTGGTACCTTACTTAACATGAAAAGATTGTATCTTGCTAAAACATAATCCTTTTTGGGATGAAGACAATATGATAAAGGTCGTTGTGCAAAACAAAATATTTCAGCCTTAGGAATACAAGAATCGATATTTACTAGGTTACAACGCATTTTAAAGTAAAAGCATGTGAAAATTTACCTCACCTACATCTGTTTGGAGCATGGACCTAAATCAAAATATAAAAAAATATATGAGCAACAAAGTTGTATCTGTGTTATAAAGCAATTCAAATCAGCAAGGGGTCGTCATTGAATAACTAGAGAACATAACTACCAGCCTGTTGGAATAGATCTGACAGGAAAGGCATGTTCTAGCATAGCAATAAGTACATGTGAAGCAAAAGATGTGGTGAGTTTTGGGGGAAGTAAAATACTAGATTGATCCTTGCAGCAACATAGCAAGGCACCAGAATGGACTCGGTTCCATACATCTTACGGCTCCTAGGAAAAGGATATCCCAATCAAACATAAAATACTAGATTGATCCTTTGCAACGCTTTCCAAAGGCATACAAGCCCCTGAAATCTTGGAAGAAGAGGTGGAGAACACGCTCACAAAAACAAATATGCGCTGGCTGTTTCTTTTCTGAAAGATTGCCCTAGCTTAGTAGCAGAAGTGCAGAACATAAGCTTTTGAAGTCAATCAGTCACTGTCGTCAAAGGAGCTATCACATTGGTTTACTTTATCAACGCCAATAACTGTTACACTTTGATATGGAAGAAGTCTAGCAAAGATGCTGGCTTCGCCAAACATGGGCTATCCAAGGCTTCATTATGAGAGTAACGAGGTGGACTCCTAACTTCCAGCAAGAGGTTGAATCCGCAATTGTCCCGGTTTGGATCATTTTTGAAGGGATCCCTATTCACCTTCATGATAAAAGGGCGCTCTACTCTATAGTGGGTATGATAGGTGCTCCACTTATACTTGATGCTGCAACTTCAAAATTTCATGTCTCTTCGTAGCATGTGTTTGTGTTGAACTGGACCTCACCAAAGAAATGCCATCCAAAGTTTGGCTGAAGAATGGATCTCAGGTTTCTATCCAACTGGTCCTACGAAGATCGTCATTTTTACTGCTCCAGTTGCTGCAAGTTGGATCATGAGCAGTATAGGAGTCCTTTGTTAACAAAGAAGCTTGATCCCATGCCCAAGGAAGGGAACACAAGTAATGAAAATGCTCAAACTGATAAAACAGTCTCTAAATCAAAGCAGATTTGGAAGCCTAAAGGAAGAGAACTTGAGAAAGCCAAGGAAGTTGTCATTAACGGAGATGTTGATGGTACTTCAAACTCTACAAAGGATGTTATTCAAAAAAGCTCACAGCACGCAGGAGTTAATATCATTCACGAGCCTACAAAAATATCCCCAAATAATGAAGTTGCCAGTCTCCTGTCCATAGTACATCATGCAGCTGAAGTTGACAAATTGATTTCCAATGACAAAACCGATGGTAAAGGCAAATTAATCCCAGAATATTAGAATATGAAGCTTGATATGTTTCGGAAGGTGAAAATCCTAATAATAACAGCCTTGTAACCATAAAAAAAAGGAAAATTATTCTAGCCCATAGTCAAGCTAAATTTGGGAGGAGTACTGAAGCTCAAAAGGTTGACGATATTATTAAGGTTTCAAAGAAAAGAAGGACTCAAAGACTATTCATGTTGTTCTCCGAGTGTTACTACGCGACATGCTGCTACGAAGTCCATCAGCAGTTAACTTGCAATGGTATCCCAATGAAAGTGCTCTCGTGGAACTTGTGTGGCCTCTCGTCTTCATGCCAGAGGCAATGCAAAATTGTGAGGCAAGATAATATTAGAGTACTGGTTATTATTCAACCATTGGTGGCTAGTTTGAAGGACCTCCCTTTTAAACTCAAAACTGGTTTCAAAACATTAATTTGCTCAATAGTGTAAAGTTTGGTTAATGTGGGATGCAGCTGTTTTAAATATTTCGGGTATTACGAATAAAGGTCAGTTTATTGAGGTTAAGAAAACTCATGTTACTTCTTCTTTCACATTGTTATTCACCCTGATGAATGTGATAGGAATCTAGCTTAGTAGGCTAATAATAAGAAATACGTAGTAATAATAATAAGAATAGTAAGTGTACATGTAATAGTATAAATAGAAGAGGAGGGGAGGAAAATAGGTAGGCTGTCATTTGGTTGGACTTAGACTTTGGAGACTGGGCATCTCGAATAGCCCTATGCATTGCATACCATCTGTACTTTCTTCTACGTCAATAAACTCTTCTTGATCTTGTTTTTTGTGAATTTCCTATTGAATCTACTGTGTTGTGAGTCGGATTTACCAGTGTTCTAACAGAATGGCAGACAAACAAGGCCAGCTAGACAAGCACAATGGCAATCTTAGAAAGCCAATTTTGATTGTTATACTCTGCCATGGCTTCTGGGAGGATACTTCAATGATATCCCATATATATCTGACTACAATGGTAAGGCAGGTCCTTGTTTGGACAGTATTTAGGACTCTTCATCTTTAATACTACCTTAGTCCCTTTTTATTTAGCCATCTTTGACTTTTCCAGTCAAAGATGATAAACTTTGATCCATTATTCTAACTAATATATTTATGTCAAAGTTAATAAATTTATACTTTTATGATAGTATTTTTAACAAAAAAACATTTTCATATAATTTTCATATTATCAATATTACCTTGTATAAATATATAATCGGTCAAAGTTGAACCACTTTGACTTGATAAATAGTGTGTTACGGATGCATTTTATGGTCAAAGTCATCCCTGGACCCGTTCTCAGTCCCAGAACCCTAACATAGTGTTTGGCTAAATAAAAAGGGACGGAGGGAGTAGTTGATAACCATCTGTTTGGACCCTCCATATGTTGCCATGTTGGTTTTTCCTTTATATGGACAAGAGTGAGAGTATAGATTTTAGATTCCAATCTAATAAAGATTTTTAGATTAATTTGGTGGCATTCAAGTATAACATTTGAGTAGGGTATCCTTAGATCATACGTTTCGTTCCCAAAATATGTGGCTCACTCACAATAACTTCTCGGCCACTATTAAAAAGTGATGGGAAGCTTACACATTTCAAGGAAGGTGTATGTGGTCTTTTCAACTTAATTGTAAGGCGGCTGATCTGAAAAAGTGGAATATTGTAAATTTTGGGAATATTTTTATGACATTGCTAAGGGTGAGGAGGAAGCTTTCTAGCAGAAAACGAACTGGAGATCCAAGACAGTGATGCAGCGAGAGAATTCTGCTCTAGAAAACAGGATCAACTGTTCTTAAGCTTCAACGGGATGAAATCTTTTTGAAACAAAAAGACTAATATTAATGGCTCAAAGAAAGAGATGTAAAGATAAATACAACAACAACAACAAAAACATTGCCCCAGTACCACGAAGGCTCCCACCTACAGTGGAGTAAGGGGGTCGGATGTAAGCAGCCTTACCCATGTACTAAAGCACAGAGAGATTGTTTCCGTATGACCCACGACGAAAATTGCGTCGAAAATTGCATGAACAGTTTAGTGGGCCATTTTGCTTTATTCCATAATATTCTCAAGCCAAAAAAATAGTGAGTCTTTGGCTCCATTGGAAATGATGGAAAGGATGCAAAGATAAATATCTTAATAAATCCAAAGTTGTATTTCTCAATTCTCTTAATCTATTACCATTATAACATTCATATCATTTAACTGTGAGTCTGTGACTAGATCATCAAACTATTTCAAATCAAATATATCAAGTATTGAATATTGCTAAAGGGAGCGCGCCAGAAAAAGAAAAGGTTTGAGGATAGAATATTACTCCCTACATCCCAAAACAACTTCTCGGCTTGACCTACAGACATATTTATGCAAGAAAAAAATTTTCTTTCAATTTCTAATTATACCCTACTTCATGTCAAACCAAGTAAAAAGTAAGAGTAATTATGGCATTTACTGTCAAAAAATCTTTTGATAGAAATGGAAGTTTATTTTGGGACATTCAAAAATGGAACTAGGAAGTTGTTTTTGGGACAAAGGTAGTAAGTATTAAAGGGTGAATGGAAGAAAGGATAAAGGTGAAAACATTCTCAACAAATTTTTCTTGAGGTAAATAGAGAGTTCATAGTTCAAAATTCAAATCATCCCGTTATTCAGTCAAACTTTTATTAGTCCACAAACGTTGTAGTTAATTAGTCCTGGAAATAACTAAGAGTTCAAAGGTTGCACACTTGCACCTACAAAATGACAAACACCTCTAAAAGGAAAACTTTGAACCACATCCCATAGTCATAGAAATATTTAGGAATCATTTGTATTTGGCATACCTTCTCGACCAGTGCCTGTATGTGGCAAACAGAAAAAAAACCATTACAGCGACAATGAGTGTGTACATAACAATTGTTGCAGCACTAGTACGGCTTGGGCCCTTCTTCTTTTTGCTCTGAAGCAAGAGAGCTTGAGGTTTTATCCTCGCCATGAGTCCTTGCAATCTTCTGGTACTGATCCCTGTACATGAATGCATGGTCGGAATTATAAAATGAAAAAGCATGTTGAACACCAAATCCTTGACCAAAAATAGCAAATTAACAAGATAGTTTAAGTAAATGTCATCATACAAGTCAAAATGTACTTAAAAGCATCACCGACAATACAATGAAGCAAATTAGTTGATAAGTGTGCATATGTGGAACAAATTACACCCTTGTGATTACTCCTTCCCTAATTCAACATGACACGCACCCATCACTCATTTTAGATCGGGGTAATAACGATAGAATTCAGGTCGGAATCAACTAGATCGTACAACCAGAAAAAGTTGAATACACATCTCATTCTATTCCACTAGAAGACTATCTGTAGTAATAGAAACTCGGATATTATTGTTTAGATGACATTCAGTTTCCAGCTAACGACCACACCACACCTAAGGCAGAAACGGCGAGGCGTGTGATTATGAAGATACGAGCTCGAAGGGCTGGACACGGCCGTGAAACGTCTGGTTACGACACACAGGATGAAGGGGTGTTCGAAGGGAGAGCAAAGATCGCAGTTTCCTCGGGCAGATGCCCAGACAAGGGAAGCGAAGAATGTCCTTCCGGCTCGCCCGTAATAATCCTATTCTACATTCTAATCTGTTTTGCTAATTTGCTTCATTTTTTTCCCGGAATAATACTACGTACCACGTATTAATTAAACAATTAAATCCCAAAATATTTTTGGGTTAAAATAATGAGTTTTTTTTTTCAGATTAATGTTAATTAATTAAATAATTACGGAATTAATGTTGAATTAAAACTATTTATCAATATATTGTTGGGCTGAACTCTGGTCGGGGAAAGTCGCCAAACCGTTTGGCGACTTTCCTCTTCCCAAATACGTTAACACCCAAACGTTCTGTTTCAGACCGGCGCCGGTTTGGGCCCAACCGGAATCGGTCGGGCGCGCCCCCGGTGGCGAAAATTTGCGTTTTTCGTCCTAAATCGATCTCGATTATCGCAATTCACTGTTTGACAGCTTACAGAACACATACAAAACACAATTTGGATAGCCCTCGGCCTATATCAAATGCAGTGACAGTATGGTGTTTCGTCTTGTCCTTATTCTTGTCAATGATATTTGTTATGTATGGAGAGTACTTGTGGCCTTTTGTCACTCTTCTTTTACCACTTTCACGTCTATCAACAAAATATGCATTGACGCGGTAAAAGGAAACTTGAAACAAAGCTGTGATGGGCAAATATCGGGCACTTTTCATCACACTATTTAAAACATCTGCCATATTTGAAGTTGTGGTACCGTATTTGTACCCCCCATCGTGGTGTAATGACCACATTTCCAAGGGAATGTTTCCCAGAAATTGTCGTGCCTTCACCCGCATTTCGCTTATCTTGTTGAACCCCCTATCAAACTTTTTTTTGATGTTGCCGTGCAGTCCAAACAAAAAGATTTTTCATGTGAATGTCTTTGAAATGGGTGTGCACATCCGGTGCAAGATGGCGCATACATAGTCTATGTTGGGCAAAGGGCTCCTCCCAACTACTCCCCACCTCTTTCATTGCTCTTATAATACCTGGATGTCGATCAGATATGACACATAATTCCCTGTTAGTTACAATCGCCGAAGTGGGGTGTTGCAATCATTCTTCACCGGAGCTCTTTTGTTGGCTTCAATCGTTCGTTCTGTCTGATAAGGTCTGCGCAGCAGTTTACTAGCAGGCAAAGTCACCAAACCGGATTGCGACTTATAAGTCGCCAAACCGTTTGGCGACTTTCCCCGACCAGAGTTAAGCACAACAGTATATTGGTAAATAGTTTTAATCCAACATTAATTCCGTAATTATTTAATTAATTGGCATTAATCCGAAAAAAACTCAAAAATAATTCTCAAAATACCGTTAGAGTTTATCGTGGTTAAGAAAAGCCGTCACTTCAAATGGCGGTTCTTCTCTTACAGTACTAAAGTCGTCACTTCGAGTGGCGGTCCTTCTCTTACAATACAAAAGTCACCACTTCGAGTGGCGGTTCTTCTCTTACGGCACAAAAGTCGTCACTTTGAGTGGCGGCTCTTGTGCCTAGTAATTATTAAGTATAATATTTTATTTAGTTCTTAATTCTTAATTCATTAATCATTAAGTATAATATTTTATTTAGTTATTAATTCTTAATTCTAGAAAGTTGATGTTAGACACTAGATTTATTATGATTTGCAAAATATTGACAATTGATATTTGTCGTTTAATTAAGTGAAACACTTTGTATATACACTTTAGTCTATTGCTGCAATACTAATATTAACATTTTAAATCATAATCTACATTTTGCTTGTTGTTGCATGACAATGATATTTTTAGTATATTATATTTGTTACTTTTGTTTGGTATTAGATAACTTTTTATTACAAGGAATATGTATTAATATAAACTATACCTTAGGCAACATAACACATAACGTGAAACTTTAGAGCATGTATTCCTTTGTCTAAAAGAGTTTTTATCCGGAATAATGTTAATTAAATAAATAATTCCCAAAGTAATTGTAGTTGAATTTTCAACGTGCGGAATAAGTCATAGAAGCTGTACAACCCCTCAATGTTAGGATTTTCAACGTGTGGTATAAGTCATAAAAGTTGTGACACTACGATACCAACTTGTAAAACACCCAGATTTCTCACCCAAAAATACCTTTAAATAAAACATTAATTATTACCTTTATTTGTAAACATCAGAATTGTGCAGCGGAAAATCAAAAGGGAAATAGGGGTGCTACCGCCACACTCGGTTCTAACCTAACCGAGTGCACATGCTAAAACAATTTAAACTCGAAATAAATTAAACTTCTAAAATAAATGTTCACTAATTTAAGATGCTGAAAATGTAATTACAATCATTTACTAATTAGGTTTTCTAGCAGAAGCTCTCTCGAAATCCACTTCAACAAGTTCAACTCAACACCTGTACAAAATCAAGTACAAAAAGAAAAAAATTGAAAGAAATAAAAATTAGCAACAATGTTAAGTAAGTTCCACCTAACCCCATAAAATAAAAATTATATATATATATATATATATATATATATATATATATATATATATATATATATTTTTGGAAAACATTTAAAAAATATATACTTTCATAATACTTTATAATTCATAAGTAAAACAACATTTATAAAATATTCTTATAAAACAATTCATATGCAAAATAATATTTCAAATATAAGTACATATTTCAAAACCATAATAGTTCCAAAATATCAGTATACATAAACTACCAAATATGAACACAATTATTTCAAAGCATATGATGGATAGTGTACCCGGGGGGTAGCTTATCCGAGGGGTTACTACGGGTAGTAACTAGAGAGAAGTCAGATTAAATAAGTAAGAGAGAGTGAATTCGAATATATGAGTTATCTATTCAAGGCGCGTCTTACAAAGGGGGAAGGGGCAACTATTTATAGTAGCAATAAATGCTAGATAGGGACACGTGTCAGCATTCTGGTGGTCGGGGGGTCACCTCAACCGATGTGGCACTGGCACTAGCATGTGGCCGCATTAAATGCGGTGGTTGGATGCAACGTTTGTACTTGGTACGGTGATCCAGCGCATATGGACGGGAGATTCTGTTGAGGGGGATGCCTTCGGCTGTAGATGACAGTCCGAAGGATATGCGTACCGAGGGCCTCATAGTGTCGAGGGCTCCAATTGCCGAAGGCTTGGTTTTCAAACCTTATTTTTCGTGATGTTGCTGAACCCAATTATGTCACTGGTAGCCTTCGGCCATGGGGCCGAAGGCACCCCTTCATGCATCGTGGGCTGCTCAGAGCTTCATTCTGCTGGGATTGGCCCGTTTTGGGCCTGTTCGGCCTGATTGTAATAGTGGAAGTATGTGGGTCGAGGGTCCCTGGACCATATACTCCATCAGGAGTCCCTCACTCCTTTTGCCGAAAGGTACTTGAGGGAAAATGAGTAATTGAGTTTGTCCTCTGATGCTGCTTTGTTGTCGTTTGTAAAAGTGGTGAGGAGTTTTGCGCTTGCATGTTTGCCGAGGGCAGTCCCTCAGTCCCCCACATTTTGGGGTCGAAGGAAATTTTTGACATTTTGTATTTTTTGTGAATTTCCCGAAGGGGTCCTCCAGTCCCCCACTCCTTGAGGCACATGTAATGTGGTGAAAAGGAGTAGGGTAGTGCCTGTTATTAGCATATGGCCGAAGGCTTGACTCTTTTCGTTTCATTTTGGGGGGAAGCCTCGTTAAAAACCTCATTAGGAAAAACCCTTTGGGAAAAAAATCCTAATGAAGGAAAACGAGTGCACCGAATTCCCCCAATGATGAATAAAAAAAGGTGAACCCTTGGTTTGAGATGAAGAGCAATGTTGCCGCCGAGAGCTATCCGTGATCTGAGGGTTTGATCGTTGATTTTGCCGAAGGCTCTTCATTGGTGTCCTGGTGATGCCGAGGGGGGTGACTGCTGGGAGCACTCCTCCGAAGGTGTCTGTGGTTGATAAGCATGAGTGAGCATTTCGAGGACTGCCAAGGGTAGTCCCCCAGTTATCGAGGGCTGAGGGAGTGGTGAATGTAGACGATAGTTCCTGTGTTGCCGAGGGGGGTTCCCTAGCTCTTGATAAGTTGGAGGCTGAGAGCTCCGGAGGGCTCCCGTCATTTATGCCGGAGGCTAACCATTGATAAGGGGTTTGAAGGTGTTGGACGGAAGGCTTGTGAGTGAATGTCTGAGGGGTGCCAACTCGGGGCACCTTTGTTTTTTCAAAAAATAGCCGTTGGAATACGACCGTTGGAGAGGGTTTCCACGTGGCGTGTGTGACATTCATGTAATTTCCATGTTTATGTTTATGTTTTTAATTAGTTTAGATTGATTGTTACTTTGGAAATTACACATGTGATACATTGAAAATTTGAAATAAAAATAAATAAATCAGATAAGTTATATCTGATAAATCAAATGAAAGTAATATAAAAATATTTTGTATTATACTTGGTGTATAAAAATATATGCACGCTACATGCAATAAAATTAAACACTTATGTGGCATCAAAAAAATAAAATAAAAATAAAATGGAAATAAATCAGGTAAAATATAGATGACGAAATAAATAAATAAATAAATAAATAAATAAATAAAAATAGTAAGAATATTAAAAATTACTAATAATAGCATCAAATTAATAAATGAAAATATCAGATCATAACACAATGACACATGCTAGGATCACCTACCAAATAATGTATATACATTATGTACATATATTTACATATATAATTATATATATTTACATGTAAAAATTAAAATAAAAAAAATAGAATAAAATAAAATTAAACATCAATATAAATGGGAATCAAATCAGGAATCAATACACATGTCATCTTCATCAGCTACCAACCTATCATTATTATTATTATTATTATTATTATTATTATTTATAAAATTATCAAATAAATAAAATAAACCATAAGGACCATCTAGACCTATAAATACATTCTCTTAGCCATCCCAAACACT